GAGAGCAGAGCAGAGGGGGACAATCCCCTCCCTCGCCCTGCTGCTGATGCTGCTTTGGATGCCCCAGGACACGGGTGGTTTCTGGGCTGCCAGCGCACACTGCCGGCTCATGTTCAGCTTCTTGTCCACCAACACCCCCAAGTCCTTCTCCTCAGGGCTGCTCTCTATCCATTCACCTCCCAGCCTGTGTTTGTGCTTGGGATTGCCTCGACCCACGTGCAGGACCTTGCACTTGGCCTCATCTTTTGCCAATTGATGGGGACACAGGCACCAGATTAAAGAAGTTAGCTTATTTTTACTGATGTTTAAAGTGATAAAATAATGAGAAAAATAATACAGTGAAAATAAATTAAAGCAAGACAAGGTAAAGCAGCAAAACAATACACAAACTACTACAGCAAGCAGGAAATATGGTGATGCACCTAATTATTACTACATAGAGTTATCGATAGCAATTAAGAAAGATCCATCACCAATTGCCCTATTAATACGTTACCATCATCCAGGTCCACAGTCACTGAGGAACCTGATTGCAGCAAGGATTTGGAGAGAACCCTTCCCAGAAACTGGGAAATCTCTATACAGTGCATCCTCTACAGATGAGGCTTCCAAATTTCCCTGCAAATGGTCCCTGCTTTTATATAGTTGAATAAACAACTTTCTATCTTAAATTGTGAAAAACATCTGGTGTGGTTTTCTCCTTGTTAACTTCCATCTCAAGCCTGGCCAGGGCCGGGAGGGGAGATAACAAGAACAAAAGCATCTACTAATCTTGATTAAGTATCTCTCAAGAAAGCTTGCCATGACTTGCCACATTCCTTTGCCATCTGTGGTGCTAAGGCACATCCATGCTTAATTTTGGCTACTGTTACGCAATGAGTATCTTTCTGCTGGCTAACCTTACACAGCCAGCGTTACAGCAAAGCGCTATAAGCGTTACAACAAAACTTTTATAAACTGGCATATATTAATAAGGCAATACATTGCATATATGATCAATATTATACATAACAGATATATTGTTAGGCTGTGAGGTTCATCTAGAAGTCAACTTTAGTTCAGGCCCTAGTATTTCACCCTGTTGAATTTCATGAGGTTTGCACTGGCCCACCCCTCTAGCCTGTCAAGGTCCCTCTGGATGGCAATGAATGAAATTAATAAAATGAATGAATAAAATACACTAGAAGTTTGTGTGTAGACTAACAGTAGCCAGCATGCCCTCTTCCAAGTCAAAGATGCTAAGATGCCAAGATGCGCTTAGGAGTATCCAAGCTCTGCACAGAGCAAAATGTATTAAAATTTCCTTCCCCCTACTATTTTTCTGCATGGGAAACATACATTTCAAATAACTTTCAATGTTTCTCAGCTGCTGATCTTCTATTCATTTCAATGTTAACAGAAATTACAAAGATCACTTTTTCCAGATAAATAAATTGATAAACCAAACAAGTATTCTTTGAGACAAAGCAAGCTGGACCAGTCAACAACTAATGCAAACTGTTTACAATTAGTAACTGAGCTTTTTATGGTCAAGAAGATGAGAAAAAGAAGATCTATCCCCCTCAATGAGAACTGCAAGTTACACCTTACATTTACCTGTGTTTAAGAAAGAGGTAGAGGCGATAGCCTTGTTAAATACTATTGTGTCTAGGACACAATTTTTCACAGTTCTTAAAAAAAAACAAACCATGGAGCACATATGGGGTAAAAATTTTGAAAAAAATGAATCACAAGAAGGTAAGGAAAGAAAAGTAGTCTGTCTTTGAAATATTCGACTACATTGCCATTCAGAAGCACATGAAACAACTTCCTAATTGAAAAAACAGAGGAAGCATAGATTTTGCATCTTTATTGGATTAGTTCTGCTCAATAACAATTAGGTCTTTATAATCTATTCATAAAGAAACAAAAAAGATTAAAGTAGGAAATCTTTATATTCCATAAGGCTTGGTGGCTTGGAGTTCCTAACAGCAGGGGCTACATCTCAGCAGAGCAACTGTCTCAGTGACCCTTCTCCTCCTGCAATCAGATATGCCTGTGCTAACTACTGGAATATTATCTTCACTTATCTTCTAATGTCTTAGGAACCAGAAAAAACCAGGCCCTAACAGTAGCCTACAAAATGCTAGTAGCCCGCAGCTTTCTAGCCAAAATGGTAGCTTTCAGACCAAGGCAATGTCATGAACAATGCCCCCTTCAGTCTCTGCTACTTGTTCTGTGATTCAGCCTTTCCTAGTAAGTCATGCTCTCAAAACTCTTGATCCTTATCACTGTCCTCCCTGATTCTTTTGTTCAGACTTTTCCTCAAGCAAAACCCCAAACTACATGCATCCAAGACCTTGTTAATGCTTCAACAACACTGTAAACACAAAATAGCTTTTTCCCCACAATATGGGTTCAGCACTGATTCAAGTTCATTTTGTGATCCCCCTAACACATGACAATCTTTCCTGCTATCCAGTCAGCTGTATGGTACATAGGCAGAAATAATTAAATGCATTATTTCAAGATGAAAACCAATTCAACAGAAACAAATTTAAGGCAGTCCACTTCTCCGAATGGCTAGGAGACAAAGCCAGGTCTGTGCATCACACAAGCTTTCTCCCAGAATAAGACTTCCCATTCAGGGTAAACAGAAATGCTTCACCCAATTTTCAGATTATGCCACAGCATGTGTTAAGAACACTAAGTATCCTTCTCTGTTCCATCTAAGATATGTACGCATACAGTTTAAAACATTAGAGACTACCTAACTGCAATCCCCACCTACTGTACAACCTCTGAATATATTAATGAAAAACTGCAAAAATCATGAGTTCTCTGAGAGAGCAAAGGAAGTCAACTCTTCTAATAATAATCATTGTCCTCTTTCATATATTTAAGCCCATTTTGTTTTACATCTTCAAGTCTACACAATACAATATAAGCAGTACGACCATCCAGCAACATTGTTGAGTTATCCTTAGGCATTTTTTAAAAAATTTACACTTTGCCTTATCCCATTTAAGCCAATGGTACCTAGTTTTTGTAAGAGCTCAAAATCAGTCACCTTATCCTAATGATGCAGCAGGCTTGTGCACTACAAATGCTCTGCTAACATGCAAAACCATTTGCTGTGTATGTGAAGTGATACCAAATGCTTCAGTAAACATCTTACTGTACAAGCTTACTGCATTAGGTTTGCAGATGACAGCCAGCTGCAGGGACCAGCCAACATACTGGAGGGCAGGGCTGCCATTCAGAGGGACCTGGACAGGCTGGAGGAACAGGCTGACAGGGACCTTACGGAATTCAACAGGACAACAGTCCTCTGCAAGGGAAGGAAGAGCCCTTTGCATTGTATAGGCTGGCACTGCTCAGCCAGGGAGCAGCTCTGCTGAAAAAACTCTGGGGGTCTTGGTAGGCAGCAAGCTGAACACGAGCCAGCAGTGTGCCCTGGCAACAAGGAGAGCCAA